TATTATTTTAATTACTACCTTAAGTATTTTTTTGTATGTTTTTTGTTTTTCTTATGGGACAGATTTTTTTTTTCTATCTTTCAGGAATGTTTTTTTTGACAGATCAATCATTTTATGAGTCATATTTCTACTGACTGTTTTTGCAATACTGTCCCTTGTAATAAAGGATTGGGATGAATTATTTGTACTGTGGTTATTTTAATGCTCTTTTTAATCCAGGAAGCAAAGTAAGACAAGAGCTTTTTTTGTTATAGTTTGTTAAACAATCTACATCTAAGGAATTGATTTGTGTGGTGTCTTCACAAACAATATTATCAGTAAATAATATTTTGGATTTTCTTTTCAAAATCCTGGGAATGCAGCATTAGAGCATATTACTAATAATCTTCAATGCCAAGTATAAAATGTAATTAATTCTTGGATTAATAGTGACCAACTTGTCTAACCTATTTTACATTTGTTTTTACAGGAAGTTCTCTTTTTAAAAAGGTTTTGGTAGAGGTAGTTGTTCGTGTTATCTTGGAAGGTGCTAATTAGCTCATTTGCAGAAATGGTACATTAAACATTTTCATTAAGTAATGGAAATCAACATATTAATTGAATATGAGTGCATCATTTCTCATTTAACTGCTAATTCTGATTGTGGGCATTTATGATTTTCTTGATGATATGTTTAATTTTAAGTAAATTAATTAATGCCTTGAAGTTGAACAAAGATGTAAAATGAAAGAAATGACAAACATATCTATCTCTGGCATGTTTTCTTAAAAAATTAACATTTTGGTTGAACTTGAAAGAAACATGGCATGCTTAATAAAAATGAACTTGGACATTTCTGGAGTCCAGTTGTGTTTATAAATCAGTTATCAGAGTTTTTTCTCTAAATACAGGCTAGATCTGCTTTTTCAGTTATTTTACTGAAGAGAAAGAACTCTACCAGAATTTTAGTAGGCTTAGTGTTACTTTAATTAGACAAAATGTTTATGTTCTAGAGTACAAAGCATCTTGAAAACACATGAATATGAAGGACTACAACTAAGCTTTATTCAAGAAAAACAGTAGGAGGATGAACTTTTTTGCATATGGAATTATAGTTTTCTGGCTACTTATTCTTGCTGGTACTCTTTTGTTGAAAATCGTTTCTGATTTTTGTTGAATGATTCGAGGATCATCATTAGTGAAACTTTGGGGGCAATAGCTCTTCAAACATTTTTCTTGCAGGGGATTTAACTGTTTAAATATAGTGAAATGTTTGAATAATATTACAGTGAATTGAATCATGCCAACATGCTGGTTGTGATATTTTACTGTAGTTTTGCAAAGTGGGGAAAACTAGACAAAGTATTATATAAGGATCTCTCTTCAATATTTCTCATAACTGCATGTGAACCTATAATACTAAATAAAAAATAAAAGGCAAAAAATGTATTTATATACTGACAAACATTCATATATATATGAATGATGAAGACTATTTTTGGTCATGATGGAGTAACAGAGATAGATTTTATTTTCCCATATGAAAAAAATACCATAAAAAACAGATGAAACATTTAAAACAAAGGTTTTCAAGACACTGCACATCAGGCAACAATGGTGACCCTATGAATCAAGAAACAAGTAGCGTGAGGCCTACAATTTCCCCAGTTTACTACCTTAAGAGAATTCCTGGCTGTGGCACAAGGCAAGGAGACTCAGGCATAGCATGGCAAACTCTTTGAGTTGAGGAGATAGAGCTGATGCCAGAGAGACCAAAGAAACAAAAAGCTGAAGCAGGTCTATAGTTTAACCCAATTAGAAATCCAAAATTTGCTAGATTTTTATACAATAAAATTTGTTAGATTTTTATATTTAGATAAATATAAAAGGGCTTTGATTGCTTTTTGTGACTGTACAAGATAGGTTCTGAGTTAACTTTAACATCTGAAGTATACCAATTGGCAAACCCTTATAACCTTAATTGCTTCTGGGGTTTAAATTATAGTTACACCTGGGATTCTACTAAACAAGGTATCCCTATGCTTTTAGGGGAGTTTACAGATACAAAGTAGAGAACAAATAGGTATATCTCACCTTACCCATCAGAACTTTTGCTTTGTCTAAATTCTGTGTAGTCGTAAGTATCTATAGAATGAAAATACCCCATAGTGGGCATACATACTCTGACAGAATTAATACACTGAAATTAAGTCAGTGGCACTTACAATCAGGTTGACCAAATGGGACCCTGTGGGCTTCCCTATCTCCTAGTTAAAATAATTACTATAGGCCAATATTAATTAAAACTGGGCTTTGAGGGTTTGAAACCTGTTATACAAGACTTACTTAGAAAAGGGGTGATTATCTTCACTGCTTCTCCATTTAATAGCCCAATTTCAAACTGATTTTTAAACTTGGGGAGAATGAATGGTATCTCACAATGGATTACCGCAACATTAATGTCATGGTCCTAACAATGAAGGCCTCAGTACCCAATACTATTGAAATTACTGACTCCTCCCAATTAATACCTCAAATACTTTGCAAAAATTTGACTAACATACTCTTATCAGTGCCTATTTCAAGAATCTCTCAGCCATAGTTGGCCTTCACTTTCAAAGAAACATAATAGACCTTTACCTAGCTACCTATGAGTACCTTAACAGCACTGCCATTGCACACAGTCTTTACAGGTAAGATCTTAAAGTACCCAACTTTCTTCAGAAGCACAACTATGACATTACAGTGATGTCATTCTCCTCCAAGGAGACTGATTTGATACACTCATTCAGGATGCACAAATACGAAGGATTTCACTGAAAGGTCATGTGCCATTTCCCCACACATAGTACAAGGCCCTGCCATCTTGTTATCTTGGAAGGTGATTGGTTAAATTCCTGAAAAGTTGTTCGATTATCTGGAAACAGCTCTATCCCTGATACTGTCAAAAAATAGCTATTGACCTTCTCAGCAATGCTCAAACAGGCCTAACATCTTATGGGCTCCTTTGGGTTCTGAAAGCAATGTATTCCTCATTTACAAATTTTTCTTAAGCCCATTTATGTTGTTTCTCAACAGGTACCTTGAATGGAGACCCTGTAGCAACATGCTCAAGAATTTATCCAAATTGCAGGACACCAGCACTCCCATTAGTTCCCTGAAAACCTCTTTACTGTAGAGGAATCTAACAACTTCCTCTCATACTTTCTGGAGTCACTAGACCACACCTTATGGCCATCAGTTGTTTATAAGCTTCGGTTGAAAGAAAATGCCTTCCTCAGCTCATGCTATACACCATTAGTGATTGTTCACTACTTAGTGATTTTCCTGGAAATAGAGGCTTTCATACACCTTGAGCCCATACCATCCATCCTCAGCTGCCCATTGTTATGCCTTGGATTATGGAAATAGCACCCTGTAAGCTCAGCAGTCATCAAGGTCTCCTTTCTGAAACAAAAAAACAGTATCTACAGTATAGACAAATGTGATCCCTCTGGCATATTATATCTGAATGAGGGGTTGGTCTCTCTTGTCCTCAGTCCTTTGCCAGATGCCACAGTGCTGGAGGATGTCACTCCACTACTTTACTAGAATAGCTAAAATTAAAAGACTGGACATAATAAGTGTTGGTGAGGATGTGGAAGTGCCAGAAGTCTCATATACTGCTGGTAGGAATGTAAAATGGTACAACCACTTTGGAGAATATTTTGGAAGTTTTCTTTAAAAGTTCAAACATATGCTTAACTATATAATCCATCTATTCCACTTCTAGCTATTTATCTAACAGGATAAAGTACATATCTATACAAAGACCTGTTACATGACTGTTCATAGCAGCTTTATTTCTAATAGCTAAAAACTGGAAATAGTCCAGATGTACATTACCAAGTTCATGGATAAACAAACTATGGTATATCCTTACATGGAATAGTATTCAGTGATAAAATGAACTTGTTACGTGCAACAACATGGACGAATATCAGATAATTATTAAACTGAGTGAAAGAAACTAAACAAAAAATGCATTTACTTATAATTCCATTTTTATAAAACTAGAAAATTCAAACTAATCTATAGTGACAAAAGATGATCTCTGGTGTTTGGGGATGTTTTGGAGGTGTTGAGGGGAAGCAGGGGCATAAGGAAATTTTGGGGGTTGATGGATATATTCACTGTCTTGATTGTGGCGATGGCTTCATGGGCATATATACATATACACATCAGAACTTATCAGATTATACATTTTAAATATGTGTAGTTTATTAAACCTTAATGAAGCTGTTAAATAATATAACTTTTTTCACTTAAAAATATGTACAGATCATGGACTACATTAGGTAATAAAGAACCTTAGAAAAGAAACAGAAACATGCAGGATTTATGAGATTTGTTCAAGTTCTTTCCCCAAGTGGAGACAGGAATGTATGTATGTATGTCTCAATACTTTTTTTTTTGTTGACTTCCATATTCTTTTCCTTCAAACTTGGCTATTGTAAATGATTATTTTTTTGTAATTGGTACTTGCCTGTTTCCCCTCTCATATTCAAACTCTTATTTTCAGTTTTGTTTTATCATCAATAATTAGTTTGTGTCTAAGTCTTGTTCCTCCCTCCCTTTGAAATGTCTGTCAAAAGTATTTTTTTTAAGCCATAACATTCCCCATGACAGCATTGCAGAACAGGCCAACAGCCTCTCATCCTGGGATTAATGTAATAATTTCCTAGCCAATCCTTTTCTTCTAGTCTCATTCATGTTGTAACTATTCTGTGGCTGACACTTTAGGAAATCATTTTTGTGCTTCAGAGTCTAACCCTGGTTACATATTAGCATGGAACTGAAAAGGAGTAGGAGAATAGGATGACTCTTCCTATCTCAAAAATTTTTGTTAAGGAGGTAGAGTTTAATATAAATGTGATTTCTACCTTCAAGTAACATTGTTTAGATGAAGAGACCACATAAACACTTGAGAAGTTTAATAAATAGTAAAATAGTAATTCTTTTTTCCTTTTTTTCTCCTCTAGGTTCCTGTTGCATGTAAATCTTGTCCCTGTGGTTATAATTTATTAATAGGAAACTTTTAAAAATAAAACACTCAGAGAAATCATCACCTTTTACAGGTAATTGGGAGTTTACCACCTTTCCATCTTATATGGTTTCTAGTATATAAATTTAAAATTAATTTTTGTGAGTCAAAAAAATTTTTTGCTGATATAGTTATAATATTAAAATTTATTGAAGTACATCTTTGCCTTTTATTAGATACAGTAAGTCAGTTATGACATGACGTTGATTTCTTCTTTATCCAGTTTAAATGTTAACTCCACAATACTGATAAGCTTCGTAACATTTAAATGAAAAGGTTTAATTTGAAAATGTTAACTGGAAGAAATGGAATCTTGGTTTTAGTATTAATATAATTTTTTAAAATACCAGTTATTTTGTTTAATTCACTGATTTAAATTATCTAAAAAATTGGTGATTTTAATTTTGTTTGAGTTTATAGATTTCTCTTTAAAGTTGACAAATCTGTATTTATTCAATAAGTGTATTTAGAGAAGGTGGATTTTTGTTATTCTTACTTTTTCCTGTGGTAAAATGTGATGTTCTGACCCTAGTAAACACAACATAGGATTAGATTTATCATGAACATTTATTGAGTGCTTAATATTTGCCAGGAACTATATATCTTGGACATAGAGCAGTAAATCTACTACCAAGGCAAGTTCAGTGCTGTCATAGTAGAGGAAGATACATACATAGGAATATATATTTGGAATATATAAGAAAAATATCAGCTAGTAATAAGGGCTGGGTAAGAAATTAAAATAGGGTTCTGCCCTAGAGGTTTATTGGAAAGCTACTTTTATTGAGTGGTCAGGGAATACATCTCCAAGGAAGTAGTATTTTAACTAAGATCTGAATAGAAGGGGCTAGACATGTGAAAACCAGGGAGGGAAAGCAAATTCTAGGCAGGGAGAAAGGCAAGTTAAAAGGGAGGGAGGAGTCAAGATGGCAGCTTGAGTAGGGCAGTGGAAATCTCCTCCAAAAACCATATATATTTTTGAAAATACAACAGATACAACTATTCCTGAAAGAGAGAACAGAAGATACAGTACAACAGGCAGGCTACATTTACACCTGTGAGAACGCAGCAACTCACGAAGGGGGTAATATACAAGCTGCTGCCTGGTGGGACCTGAGTGACCCCCCCCACCCAGCTCCCCAGGAAGAGCAGGGAGTCGGTGCAGGGAGGGAGTGGGAGCACAGGACTGCTAAATACCCAGCCTTAGTCATCCACACCGGTAGCACAGACACACACTGCGTGGTGTGCTGGATAATAGGGAACCAGAACAGGAAAAGATGCAAGTGAGTTCCCACAGCCGGCACCCCCAGGACGAAAGAAAAGCAAGTGCTTTTTAAAAGTCTTAAAGGAACAAGAGCCTCACAGCTGGATGGAAGCGTCCCAGCACATTCAGCCCAGCAGCTGGGAATCCTGGGGAACTCCAGGCACACTAACCACCAGGGGGGGCAGCGCAGCTCTGAGGCCCCTCATGGCAATAAACAGTCTCCCATCCATTCCCCCTCTGGTGCAGCTGTGCCATAGCAGGGGAGCAGCCTGAGAGTGGGCACCCACAGCAACCACACGGAGCCTCCTCTGCAGCTGCCCAGGAAAGACTCAGAGGCCCTGTCGACACACAGCTGCCGAGCACAAGCTGCTGGGAGTCGCCATTCTCACAGGAAGGGAAGGCAAAAGGCAAGCAGGAAGGGATTTTGTTCTCTCAGCTGACACATGCACCAAGTGCCTACGACTACCTCTATCGCCATTAAAAAGGCAGAAGAATTTGATACAAAGAAAAGAATAACCCAGACATCCCATGAGAGGAAATGTGGGAGATAGATTTAACCAATCTTCCTGAAAAATAATTCAAAATAAAGGTCATAACCATGCTGATGGACCTGCAGAGAAATATGCAAGAGCTAAAGGAGCAAGTAGGGAGGGAGAATACAGAAATAAAACAATCTCTGGAAAGACTTAAGGGCAGAATGGATGAGGTGCAAGAGGCCATTAATAGAATAGAAATCAGAGAGCAATAACACAGAGAAGCTGAGGCAGAGAGAGGTAAAATGATCTCCAGGAACAAAAGAATATTAAGAGAACTGTGTGACCAATCCAAACGGAACAATATCTGCATTATAGGAGTACCAGAAGAAGAAGAAGAAGAGAGAAAAAGGGTTAGAAAGTGTCTTTGAAGAAATAATTGCTGAAAACTTACCCAAACTGGGGGAGGAAATAGTCTCCAAGACCATGGAGACCCACAGAACTTCCAACAGAGGGGACCCAAGGAGGACAACAGCAAGACACATAAAAAGTAAAATGGCAAAGAGCAAGGAAAAGGACACAGTATTAAAGGCAGCCAGAGAAAGAAAAAAGGTCACCTACAAAGGAAAACCCATCAGGCTATCATCAGACTTCTCAACAGAAACCTTACAGGCCAGAAGAGAATGGCATGATATATTTAATGCAATGAAACAGAAGGGCCTTGAACCAAGAATACTGTATCCAGCACGATTATCACTTAATTATGAAGGAGGGATTAAACGATTCCCAGACAAGCAAAAGTTGAGGGAATGTGCTTCCCACAAACCACCTCTACAGGGTATTCTAGAGGGATTGCTCTAGATGGAAGCACTCCTAAGGCTAAATGGATGTCAGCAGAGAAAATAAAATCACAGCAAAGAAAGCAGACCAACCAAATACTAACTAAAGGCAAACAATGATATCAACTGTCCACAAAAGCACTCAAAGGAAACACAAAAGAGCACAAAATAGCATATAAAGAATGGAGGAGGAGGAATAGAAGGGAGAGAAATAAAGACTCATCTGACTGTGATTATAATTGCTCAATAAGCGAGTTAAGTTAGATGGCAAGATACTAAAGAAGCTACCCTTGAATCTTTGGTAACCATGAACCTAAAGCCTGCAATGGCAATAAGTACATATCTTTCAATATTCACCCTAAATGTAAATGGACTGAAAGCACCAATCAAAAGACACAGAGTAATAGAATGGACAAGAAAGCAAGACCCACTATATGCTTCTTACAAGAGAATCACCTCAAACCCAAAGACATGCACAGAGTAAAAGTCAAGGGATGGGAAAAGATACTTCATGAAAACAAGAGGGATAAAAAGGCAGGTGTTTCAGTACTAGTATCAGACAAAATAGAATTCAAAACAAAGAAAGTAACAAGAGATAAAGAAGGACATTACATACTGATAAAGGGCTCAGTCCAACAAGAGGATATAACCATTATAAATATATATGCACCCAATACAGGAGCACCAACATATGTGAAACAAATACTTACAGAATTAAAGGAGGAAATAGAATGCAGTGCATTCATTTTAGGAGACTTCAACACACCACTCACTCCAAATGACAGAACCACTAGACAGAAAATAAGTAAGGACACACAGGCACTGAACAACACACTAGAACAGATGGACCTAATAGACATCTATAGAACTCTACACCCAAAAGCAACAGGATACACATTCTTCTCAAGTGCACATGGAGCATTTTCCAGAATAGATAACATACTAGGCCACAAACAGAGCCTGAGTAAATTCAAAATGACTGAAATTCTACCAACCAACTTCTCACACCACAAAGCTATAAAACTAGAAATAAATTGTGCAAAGAAAACAAAAAGGTTCACAAGCACTTGAAGGCTTAAGTACATGCTCCTGGTTAATCAATGGATCAATGACCAAATTAAAATAGAGATCAAGCAATATATGGAGACAAATGACAATGACAACATAAAGCCCCAACTTCTGTGGGACGCTGTGAAAGCAGTTTTAAGAGGAAAGTATATAGCAGTCCAGGCATATTTAAAGAAGAAAGAACAATTCCAAATAAATAGGCTAAAGTCACAATTATCAAAATTGGAAAAGAACAAATGAGGCCTAAAGTCAGCAGAAGGAGGGACGTAATAAAGATCAGAGAAGAAATAAATAAAATTGAGAAGAACGAAACAATGGAAAAAATCAATGAAACCAAGAGCTGGTTCTTTGGGAAAATAAACAAAATAGATAAGCCTCCAGCCAACTTATTAAGAAGAAAAGAGAGGGAACACACATCAACAGAATCAGAAATGAAAAAGGAAAAAATCACAACAGACCCCACAGAAGTACAAAGAATTATTAGAGAGTGCTATGAAAACCTATACGCTAACAAGCTGGAAAACCTAGAGGAAATGGACAACTTCTTAGTAAAATAGAACCTTCCAAGACTGACCATTGAAGAAACAGAAAATCTAAATAGAGCAATTACCAGCAATGAAATTGAAGTGGTAATTAAAAAACTACCCAAGAGCCAAACCCCTGGGATGGATGGATTTACCGTGGAATTTTAACAGACATACAGAGAAGACAATACCCATTCTCCTTAAAGTTTTCCAAAAAATAGAAGAGGAGGGAATACTCCCAAACTCATTCTATGAAGCCAACATCACCCTAATACCAAAAACCAAAGACCTCACCAAAAAAGAAAATTACAGACCAATATCCCTGATGAACATAGATGCAAAAATAGTCAACCAAGTATTAGCAAACTGAATTAAAAAATATATCAAGAGGATCATACACCATGACCAAGTGGGAATCATCTCAGGAATGCAAGGATGATACAACATTTGAAAATCCATCAACATCATCCACCACATAAACAAAGAGAAGGATAAAAATCACATGATCATTTCCATGGATGCTGAAAAAGTATTCAACAGAATTCCACATCCATTCATGATAACTCAACAACATGGGTATAGAGGGCAAGTATGTCAATGTGATAAAGGCCATATTTGATGAACCCACAGCCAGCATCATACTGACCAGCGAGAAGCTGAAAGCTTTTCCTCTAAGATTGGGTAGAAGACAGGGTTGCCCACTCTCCCCACTGTTATTCAACATAGTACTGGAGGTCCTAGCCATGGCAATTAGAAAAAAACAAAGAAATGCAAGGAATTCAGATTGGTAAAAAGAAGTTAAACTGTCACTATTTGCAGATGACATGATATTGTACATAAAGAACCCTAAAGACTCCACTACAAAA